TAAATGCGTTTGTACTTCAGGCCATATATGTCATTTTAGACTGTTTAAAAGGTTTCTGGAGTAGTCACTGTTGTGCACAGTGTTTGTGAAAGCCTTTTATCTATCCAATGTCTAGATAGTTGTCATGTAAACGTAGTTACTCTGCATCATTTATGTTGTGTGTTTTACCAGGTTTCTAGTTCCTAGTGATCTAAATTGCATCTAAAACAATATGAACTATACTGTCTGTCACTGTCTTCTCAAGGAGGGGGAAAAAGCAGATAATTATAGATCACAAGTCTGTTTTGGGAGACCCAAAGTTCTTAGAAATTGTAGCAAATATTTGAATTTTTTTTTCTCCAGATACTCTTCTGGTAAGACTTTTACTCAGTACAAAGCTTTGTTTCATGACTTAGACACAAGTGACAAGAAAAACAGCAGCATAGAAACATAACCTTTGAGACTAAGTGTGATTTGCAAATAGGCAGAAACTGAAACTGGGTTATAGCTGAAGTAATTGCTATTTACTTGTGCACAACAGAGAAATCTTATTCAGTGTTTAACTGCTCTCATTCCATCGTTAAAACAAATACTGTTCTTCATGTATTAAAGTAGTGTTTCTGTATGATAAGAAGCAGCATGAAATGAGGGCATTGAATTGTTCTGATGTCTGTCCAGATTTTGAAGACAGAGCTACAAGGTTATAAATTCCTTATTTTTGCTTGAATATTTTTCTTAAAATATGTGTATTTGTTTGAATTTCTGATTGCATTCAGGAATAATGCCCTATACATTAAGCAAAGTAAGAGTTTAAAAATGTAATTTCGTCACTGATATGTACTTATGTGGTACCCCAGATGGTGGCGATAAGAATAAAATTAAGCCATGAGTTACCTCCAGCTCTAGATTTTTAGGGTGTTTTTTGACATGAACATGCACAGTTCATAAACATATTAAAATATAATTACAAGGGCAACTTTTCAGGACACCATTTGAAATGTGTTTTGGGTTGTTTGGGTCCTGCTGCACCTTAAGGCGGTGTTTCTTAACTCTGTATATGCACATAAAAATGTGTTCATCCCATCCTCCCCCAGTACCTTAATACACACCTGTGCCCCCTAAGGACTTCTAGATCTAAATCCGTACATCCCTGTCCTATAGAACTGCTTGTTACCAAAACACTAGCATATCAGTCCAATGCTTCACTGTGTCTACTGCCACTGACCTGCTATCGCAGGTCCACCAAGATCAACCTCTGCTGTGTGTGCATTGACTGCTTGAGGGGGAGGAGAAGTGATGCTGCTCCAAGGAAGAGCCTGACCTCCCAAACACGAAGGGAAAGAGTCCCCTACAGCCGCAGAGCAGCTGAAGGAACTCACCACAGGCAGTACAGTACTTTTTGTGGAGAAAACTGATCCAGAGTAAGTTCTAAGACTAGACATCCTGGCTTAGTATTCCTTTGAAAATACCGAGGATTGTCCAGTTTACTCTTCTCACAGTTGCTTTCCCTTTCTTTAGTGGCCAGAAAGTTTCTGTCAGTTGCCTGTTTTCCCCCAGTGCTGGTGCTTTTAATGTTAAAAAAAACCACCAAAAACCGTAGAGTGTATAATGATACAGATATCATGTGTTTCACCCAGTGAACTACTGAGACAGAACTTTCCACAAGCCTGTCTAAGTTCTTTATCTCCCTAGATTGTAATATTCTATTTCTGTATGTCTGAAATCTCTAAAATCTGTATGTTATTTGGTGTAGTTTCCAAGTGAAATCCGCAAAAATGATTTTTTATTCACTGTGAGTTTTCACTTCCAGACAGAACCTTGGTGAAAGTATACTTTATTTATGGGTGGAGAAGATACGAGAAGTTCTGATAGAAAAGGCACAGTCATCAGATCCAGGTACTTCAGAAAATACACGGGTTTTTCAGTTTACTTCTTGTTCAACTGCAAAATAAGATTGCAGTACAAGTTAAAGCTTTATGCCCAGTTTTTTATTGGATCTAAGTAACAGAAAACAACAGTCTTCAGTGTCATGGCTTATTGTTTTACAGTGATAGCTTCCCTTTTTAAAAAGCAGTAGGGGAAAAAAGGAAGGGGGTGGCCTCAGTGAACTAGAACAAGGTCCTCAGTTCTCTCAGCAATTAAATTGCTTGCATGAAAACAGAGTGCTTCACACAAGTACATTATGGATTGTCCCGTGTTCTGCAAAGGAAACATTTATATCAGTAATTAATTCTGGTGTTGAGTGCACTCTTGGAGGATTGGGATTAGCCTCAAGAGAAGATAAACTTCAGTGGAATACACAGACAAATGACCAAGTATTCCATCTTACTTGCATTTTACTATATTGTGATGATAAGTACATCATCACTAGAGTTGTAGTGATTCTTCTGCTGTTACTCTTACAGTGATAGAGTTTGTGTAAATCCATAGTTGTTCTTTCAAAAAGTAGTGGGTTTTTTGTGCTAAACTGCTATGAAATGTATGAGTGACATGCATGCATGCACTTGTGGCAAAAGGAAACAGAGGTATTTTTCTATGTCATGGATGGTAGCTTAGTCCTGTGAGGAATAAAAGTCCAAAGAGGAAAAAAAAAGTACATTTTCAGTGCTTCTTCATGATAAGATCTAGTTTTAGTGTGTCAATAAACTGTGCATTTTGTTACTGCATCATAGAAATTTTAAGAGTAATTTTTCATTGATGTGACTACAGGAGTGGATACTTAGAAGTGAAAGATTTACAGCCAACATGGAAGTTTGTTGGATATTTTGACAGCAACCTTGTGGCTTCTATTGCATATACCTAATGATTTTTCTAGGCCTTTTGAACATGCTGTATCATCCCTGTGCTTTTTTATTGAAAATACCTGTGTTACAAAAACTGCATCATCACCACATCATAGGCCCTCTAAATAGGAAATTGGATTGTGATATATTAACTTGTCTGTATGGTTGATTCCCTCTAAATCCAGTTGACAGAGCACTATGTGTGATATTTACTCTTTTGCTGTTGAATATTATTTTTCATATGTCCTGTGCATGAAGGAAAATAGGAGTTTGGGAATCCCGGAGAGCTTGAAACATGTGCAGAGAGATGTTCCAACATAGTGATTCTATAACATCATTAAGTAGTATTGAACAACAGCTCTACATTTTTCCCCAAAAGACCAGTAAATGACTGGAGTTCTTGTGAAACATCAGATTATTTTAGTCTCTTTAGTCTCTAAATTCGGATTAGATTAATGGTAGCATTGTAAATGCTTAATGGAAGTGGTAAACATTCTTCTTTTCTTTTCTGGGTTTTGTTGTGATTCACGTTACTATTCTGCATTTCATAATTCTTAATAACAAACTGATTTGAACTGAAAAGCCAGAGTTTTTGAGAAGAAGAATTTGAAATTTCATCTTACTTGTCTCACAAAAAAAAGTGTAATAAATTCTACTACTTGTATCTTAATAGAACCAGATATTAAGAAAACCAGTGAAGAAGTTGATGAAGATGATGGAGATGATTTTTTCCTAGAATATCAGCCTGATCATGAAGATCCAATTAAAATGTTAAATTACATTACATCTGCAAGTCAAGAAGGTAAGAAATATGCCCTTATTAATTCTGATTAAGTAATTTAGAAGAGAGAGGCCTTAAGATTCTGGTTTTCTGCTGGAATTTTGAGTAAAATTAGTAACATTAAAATTATAATAAAGATAATAACAGTTGTAAAAAAAACAAAAACAAAACAAAAAAAACCCAACAACAAACCAACCCAACAATATATTTTTGGTGGTTCTGTATGTCATCTTGTGTACTTAACTTTAACATATCCTTTTTTTAAAGTCAAGACATTCTTTATGTAGCCATATACATTGTTTCAGCACACTTAAAAGAAAACAAACACTTCCTTGTTTGTGATCAGTAGATGAAGAACTGCCATCCATACATCATGGAAATCCAATCACAGATCGAAGAAGTACTTTCCAGGCACATCTGTCTCCTGTGGTGACACCCAGACAAGTTAGTAGAGATCAATTCTACTCTTTTTGTCTGTATCTTGAGCTTCACAAAATACTGCTGAAATACTTGGGATTGGCTGAATATGTCTGTCTGTCTTTGCATCTGTGTGTGCTAATATTGTCTGACTAGTCATCAGTTTCTCGCTTTTACTGTCAGCTAAATAGCTGTAAATATCAGCTCTGCAATGCTTCCTGGTAGTTTTCTAGTTTTATTGTTGAAGCTGGTAGATATTGCTATTCTTTACCATTAAGTGCATTAGATGTGAGACAGAGAATAAGAACGTCGAAATTTGACTTTTGGGCATTGGCAAGTTTATCATAAGATATTTGGAAGCTACTGAGTCTACCATATGTAGATGAAAATGAAATTAAAATGAATTAAATGAGTTTATATATGTTCCCCCCCCCTCCCTTCAGAAAGGCATTCCATTGAAAAATACACTTGGATAATGCATAAGTAAATCTTTATCGAGACCTAAGTGAGAGGGGTAAGCATGATTCTAGAGTTGCTTTTGCCTACAACTAGAAAAAATGTCTGCGTTAGTTTTTGTCTCTTATTGGAATCATTGGTGAATGTAGACCTAGACAGAGTGCTAGAAAAGAGCAGCTACATTTTGTTTCCCGTCATGCTTCCCCTCTTTCAGCAGTTTAACACAAAGTAAAGAAAGTATTCTTGTGTTTAATATTACTGTTTTTTTTTTTATCCTTTGTGGAATTTGTCCCATTGTTTCATGCACGAGAATTAACTTTCAAAATCCACAGCATTGTATGAAAATATGCCTTCCTGTGTTTGCTGTGAATCTGTCACTCATAACTTTGTTGCACCTCTCCAATTTCTCTGTGCAGTTGGATTTTATAGACATCTGTCATATTTTATACACCTTAGTTTTCTGTTTTCTGGGCTGATGACCGTCGGTTTATTTCGGTACGTGTAATATATGCTGTAACCTTCTTGAGATGCAGACTAGAACTATACGCAACACTGAAGATGCGATCACTCCAAGGATTTATAGAGTGATGCGAAGAGTTTTTCTGTTTTCCATATTCTTTTCCTAGTAATACCTTTCAGTTTACTTTTTTGACCTCTATTGAGCACTGAGCTGGTGTTTTCATAGAAATGTCTGTTATAAACCCAAGATCTCTTTTTGCAAATGCTAATAACTAGTTTGGAGTCACTTTGTACGTCACTTTGCATCTGCTAACATCAGTCGTCTTTGATGCTCCCTGTTCAATGGGGAAGCTATCGATATAGTCACCTTTTCTTGTCATTAACTGAGAGTTAAACCTTGAAAAGATTTTCCTCTTTTCTTTCATTCAATTCTAGCTTTTATTTTTTTGGTAAGGGATCTTGTCAGATGCTTTTTGAAATTCTAGGTGAGCTAGATCTACTACATGCTCAGTGCCCCTGAAAGAATGTTGGCAGATTGACAGAGTTTTGAGGCATATTTCCCTATACAAAAGCTGTAACATTTTAAGCTGTCTGTAGTTTTTTGTGTTTTGCTTCCCCCTCATTAGCTTGCCGAGTATGGACATAAGACTTGTTGGTCTTTAGTTTCCTGCATCCATCCTGGAGCACTTTTGAGATACTGGTATTGCATCAGTCACTGCTGCAGAAACAGTTTTAACTGAACTGATGCACAGTTCTGCTGCAGAAAGAGTTTTAACTGGTATGTTAGATACTTTAGCTATAGTTCAACAGCTTCATACTCCAGTTCCCATTAAACTTTTACATAAATATCACCTCGTTTTGCTGATTTGTTTCTATTCATGTTATCAGCTTGTTCAACCTTATTCTGTGGTAAGGCTCCACTATATCATCCTTTCTGACCTTTTAAGTTCATATACACTGTACATTCATTTAGGTTTTTGTGCTACAGCTGTATCTTCTTTAAGTGATTCTTTTGTATGTATTAGATTTATCTGCTGGCAGTACAGATCTCTGGTAAGCTTCAGCTTCTTGTATGTTTGAGGGGGAAAAATCATTATTTATTTTGTTTTTACACCTTCAAAAATGTGCTGTGCTTTTCACATCTATCTTGTCATCTATCTTATTTTTCTCTATCTCGATACAACTTGAGCTTTTTTGAACACACTTTCAGCTTTTTTGAGCTGTTCTTTTGCTGCTGGCAAAGTAAAAGTAATTTTGTTCATTAGGTTTGTGTGGAATAACTTGATGTTTTATGATACTCAGTACATTACCATTTTCATTACAGTAGCACTGCACTTTAGGGGCTTTCTTAGCTGTGCTCAGTCCCTATGAACTGTAAGTCCCTATGAACTGTGTTACTTTAGAAAAGGAAGAAATAGGAATCATTGGCTTAATGTCCTTTTATCATTTTACAAAACTCTTGCTCTTTGATTGTGATTTATGAGTAAGAGTGTTCCTACTTAGGAGGAAATCTGTACCCACAGACATGGGTTTCCAAAAGGGAAGGTCTGTATGAAGAAATAGTACTCACTTAAAGCAGGTTATTCATTTCCCTTTTGTATGAAAAGACATTCTTAATTTCTTCTTTTATGATTTTTTTTTTTTAAAAGACAACATATACTCAATAAACCTAGGATTTTCCAGTCAAGACTTCTTGGAATGTGGTTAGTATAAAAGTAGAGAAATTTGCCAAGTATCAAATCCATCTTGTTTCACAGAGTCTTGCTGTACAGTGTGAGGTGATTGGTCTTCGGATGGCAGGGAAGCTTTACCGTGGTAGGGACTAATTTTTTCTGAAAGCAAGTGAAAAGAGGTGAGAAATGGGGTAAACACTGCACCTGTAGTGAAAGCTAGCTTCTTTATCAGCTGAAGAGGTTACTGTGTGCCCATAATGGTCTATCTGCGTAATCTGTATGATACAGAATGATACTCATTGATATTTTAAGACAGTATGCAGATTGCTGTGTAAATTCCTTTATTGAGTATTTTCAATAGTGGGACTTTACTTCTAAAGTAGTTTTCAATAATGATAGCCAGAGTAATACTGTAGTTATTTACATAACAGAATATGTTACCATAAACCTTATGGGGCAAAGAAAGTGATAGGCATGTTTCATGTAGCAGGCTGTATTTGGTACCATTGCTTTTCCTTGTCTCAGTTTGGCTTATTCTGACATTTAAAATATATGTGGCTTTTGCACTTGACATTGATGTAGTAAGGTGAGACTAAGAACTGATCTGTTTTTTAAGCATCTTGCGTCTCTTATGAGCAGGTGCCTCATTGACATGTAGAGAATTACATCCCTTAATTCCCTAAAGCAGGAATAATAGAGAGGGAAACAGGAGGAAAAAAGGCTCAGGAGCTACAACAGGAACAAGGATGAACTGCTTAGCTGCAAGTTGTCTGTCTTGGAGGTTCATTGTTAATACAGACACATAATGAATCTTTAAGGTATGTTTTTAGGATCCTGGTAGCTGACAAATAAGTAATGCCAAAGGTGATGATCATTTCATATGCTTTGTACCCTAAATCCATGTATTGAAATGCATTTATGGAAGTGATTAAGTAATGTAAGTTGTCTTTCTTCAATATTCCCCTTTAGGGGAAACAAAAGGAGAAAACAGGTGTCTGAAGCAATGTTTTCCCTTAATAATAGGATTTTTTTCGTTGAGGTATCTTATATTTGAGGTGATTTTTGTATTTCTTCCAGAGAAAGTTGACTTCCTTGCAGAGAATTGGAAATAGCATGGTATAACTAAGACAGATATTAAATATGTATATTGATTAATCCTCAGAGACATTTTTCTTTGGAGTGGAAGGCAAGCATGTTTTCCCAAGCTTTCTCAACTTCAGTAAAGTTTTGCTTAAAGTAATACTAATTTTGCGTTATGTAAATGTCTAAATTTATAGTAAAGGAAGACTAGGGAAAATGTGGGACCTTCAGTGAATGAAGTGGGAGCCCTGGTGACAGGGGAGGCAGAGAAGGCAGAGTTACTGAATGCCTTTTTCACTTCAGTCTTTACGGCTAAGACTGCTCCTCAGGAATCCCAGACTCTGGAGATAAGTGAAAAAGCCTGGACGGAGGAAGACTCTCCACTGGTCGACGAGATTTGGGTTAGAGATCACTTAGCTGAACTGAACACTCACAAATCCGTGGGCCCTGATGGGATGCACCCATGAGCGCTGAGGGAGCTGGCTGATTTTGTTGCAACACCTCTCTCCATCGTTTTTGAAAAATCCTGGAGAATGGGAGAGGTGCTTGAGGACTGGAGGAAAGCCAATGTCACCCCAGTCTTCAAAAAGGTCAAGAAGGAAGACCTGGGGAATTATAGACCGGTCAGCCTCACCTCCATTCCTGGGAAGGTGATGGAACAGCTTCTTCTGGAGGCCATCTCTAGGCACATAGATGAAAAGAAAGTTATCAGGAGTAGTCAGCATGGATTCACCAAGGGAAGATTGTGCTTGACCAATCTCCTAGCATTCTATGATGGAGTGACTAGCTGGGTAGATGAAGAGAGAGCAGTGAATGTAGCTTACCTTGACTCCAGTAAGGCTTTTGACACTGTCTCCCATAACATCCTCATAGTGAAGCTCAGAAAGTATGGGCTGGATAAGTGGACTGTGAGATGGATCGAGAACTGGCTAAGCAATAGAGCTCAAAGGTTGTGGTCAGTGGCAGAGAGTCCAGTTGGAGGCCTGTAGCTAGTGGTGTTCACCAGGGATCAGTACTGGGTCCGGTTTGTTCAACATCTTCATCAACGACCTAGATGAAGGTTGGAATGTACCCTCAGCAAGTTTGCTGATGATACAAAACTGGGAGGAGTGGCTGATGGCACCAGAAGGCTGTGCTGCCATTCAACGGGATCTGGACAGACTGGAGAGTTGGGTGGAGGGAACCTCATGAAATTTAACGAGGACAAGTGTGGAGTTCTGCACCTGTGGAGGAACAACCCCATGCACCAGTACAGGTTAGGGGTTTACCTGCTGGAAAGCAGCTCCATGGAGAAGGACCGTGGAGTCCTGGTAGACAATGTTATCCATGGGACAGCAATGTGCCCTGGTGGCCAAGAGGGCCAATGGTATCCTGGGGTGCATTAAGAAGAGTGTGACCAGCACAATCCTCCCCCTCTACTCTGTGCTGGTGAGGCCTCATCTGGAGTATTGTGTACAGTTCTGGGCTCCCCAGTTCAAGAGAGACAGGGAACTTTTGGAAAGAGTCCAACAGAGGACTACGAGGATGATTAAGGGACTGGAACATCTCTCGTATGAGGAAAGGCTGAGAGACCTGGGGCTGTTTAGTCTGGAGAAGAGAAGGCTGAGAGGGGACCTTATAACTGTCTATAAATGTCTGAAGGGTGGCTGTCAGGAGGATGAAGCCAGTCTCTTTTCGGTAGTGCCCAGTGATAGAATGAGGGGCAATGGGCATAAACTGCAGCACAGGATGTTCCACCTCAACATGAGATAAAACTTCTTTACTGTGAGGGTGATGGAGCACTGGAACAGGCTGCCCAGAGAGCTTGTGGAGTGTCCTTCTCTGGAGACCTTCAAAACCTGACTGGATGCGTTCCTGTGCAACCTGCCCTAGGTGATCCTGCCTTGGCAGGGGGTTGACCAGATGATCTTCAGAGGTCTCTTCCAACCCCTACCATTCTGTGATTCTGTTATTTATATAAATGTCTAAAACAATGTCTTGATCAAGGCTCTCCTTATCCTAGAAAAATTGGAAAGGGTTGAACAATTGCTAACTTCTTTAATTTGTAAGACAAGATGAACTGGTATTGATAAATGTTTTGAATTTGGTACTTACTAAGAGCAGAGAGATGGACATGGTGGGAATATCTGTTTTCTGGGAAATACTGACACTTTCAGACCCATAATAGAACATTATTTTTTTTATTCTTTCTGTGAAATGGAAATTCTGGGAAAAAAGTATGTTTGAGGAAAAAGCAAAAACTCAAAATGAAATGTAGTGGAGCTTTCTAAACATTACATGTTTTTGTGAAATAGGTAAAAGCAGTGTGTAATGGGAAAATGTATGTCAAGTTGTGTTATATTCCAGCTTAAACTTATAGTTAAAAAAAGTAAGCTGGTGTAATAGATACTTAACACTGATGAAAAATGTTTTCTAGATCTTACTGTCTCTCTTGTTTAGTAAACTGATTTGACAATTCTACATCTTCAGCAATAACATGAATGTACACAGTGTACAAATTCAAGGAGCAGCTGTTTTCAGTATCCCAGAAAAATTATTTGAAACTAACATGATGGTACTGAGAAGCTGCTTATTGAGTTATCACACTGACTATTTAATTAATCTTATGTCAAAGTGCAAAACTGTTCCACTATAGTATTAAAGAAATGTTTGTTTAGCTGTGATTCTGAGATGGTGTTTATGAAATGCCCATTATAAAAGGAAGCTTTTTTTTTTTTAAAGGTAAGGAGAGTTCTTGAAAAATTACATGAGAATAAGAAAATTGCAAGTGCTACACACAACATATATGCATACAGGTGAGAGATGAATAGTATTTTTTTGTTCCTCCCTCCCCCCCAGCCCCGTGTTCTTTGACAAAATGAGTGCAGGACATGAGAAAATCATGAAATTTTTCATCAAAAACATCAGAGAAATTCCTTGCTATTAAATGTTTATGGAAATAGGTTTCATATTTGTATGGTAAAGGTTTTAGGCTTTATTTTGAATTTGAGGTCAAGAAAGTTGAACGCATAGTAGGAAGTATGTTAAGATAGTAAGCCAGCATTAGGAATAGAAAAAGACTAAATGTGGATTTGAACATGTGTTGTTATACTTTGTATAGTATGTGTGAGCACGGAAATGCTGCATCATCCTGAACTAAATGTGTTTTTACCTGGGTAAAGTAACTTCTTTTTTCTACCCAGACTTATATTTAGAAACAGCTGAAAATATTTAGTTGAAATAAGAGTTGAAACAGAAAGCCTGATTGCAGATATCTGGCATATGAAGTTTCACCTGAAATACAAGAAACTTCAGGGAAAACGAGGAACAGGTAAAAATTAGTTTGGCAATGGTCTGTCTCTGGCAATTTTTGTGAACATAGCTTGTATAAAATGAATTGGTCACAGTCCAGATAGTAATGTAGGTTTTTTGAGGAATGTAAGTGACCGTAAAAGGAGCCCCTTTCATTACTGGAGGAACCAGTCATCTGAAAAAGACTGTATAGACACTGATCCATTTGTGCACATCCTGGCGTGATCCTAATGAAACATGAAATGCGAGCAAGTGAAAGCTTACTTTACTAAAAAGTCTACCTAAGTAAAAGGTTTCTGTAAAGAGATTTCTGTTGTTGCTGATGATGGTCTGGCTTCTTTCACTCATACTGTCTAAATACACTTCAAAAAAGCAACAGAAACGTACTTTCTGCTTCATATATGTCATCTAGTACCAGAAGCCTCTTTGTCATTGTGTCACATGTGTATTAACTAAGTTCAGAAGTTATGAAATCAGTTGGTAACAAACAGTAGACCTCTGAGCATTACTTCTGGAAAATTAGGCCTGGACAGCTGTGCCTTATATGAAACAACACATCCTAAAGTTTCCTGGAGTGCTCCCTGAGGAAGGAGATGACATAGAGAACCTGAAAGTAAATTTCAGTAATAGTTTCACGCTGCTGCTTAAATATAGACCTAAGTAATTATTTATAATATTTTTGTCCCAGTTCTTCCAACTTGTGAGTGTGTACCATAATTTGTATCTGATAGAATTGGTTTCAGCTAGGTGTAATTATTAGGCTAAAAACCCAAGGATTTTTCTTATTAGGGACTTTACACTGGTAATGAGTCTGGAGTTAACCTGGAATAGCTGAAGTCTATGTAAAAGCTTCTCAAAACTTGTTCTACTGTACAGATAAGTATTTGTGGTTTACCCTAAGCCTCATCCTGTTTTCATGTAAATGTCCTTCAAGGAGAAGTAGAATTGATACACATGCGTATGAAAGATCTTTGAGACTTCATTAATCACGTCGAAATATTAGTTGATTGACATTTTTTTGAATCTATTTTATGGTTTGGGTTTTTTTTTTCTTCTTTTTTTATCTTTTAAAGAATATACTGTGAAGATAAGCAGACATTCTTACAGGATTGTGAAGATGATGGGGAGACAGCAGCTGGTGGACGTCTTCTTCATCTTATGCAGGTTATAGAAATTAATCTTTGATTTCTGGAAGTCTTGAACAGATTTGAGATATTACTAAAATGTAAATAAACTTGTAGAAGATTATTTTAATTCTTACTCTGCTTTTAGCCAAATAAATGATTGCTTTCTCAAAGGTGAAAGCAAAAACAGAGACTGTTGCAGAGACTGTAGTAAATTGAGATTTCCAAGCTTTTGATCACAGAAACAAGTAGTGTTTCCTGGGTGGTAGTAATAGTTTGAACAGCTTAAAAGATAAATAAGTTTTGATTCCTATGCTTACTATGTGGTGTATGGTATATAGAAAATGAAGACTGGAAGAAGCTCATTGAAAGAATGTAACATCTGATCCGTGCATAGCCTTTCATTTGGTTTCCTTAGATACTTGTAATAAAAAGACACTTACATTTGAATTTGCAGTAGAGCTTCAAATGCAAAAAGCAGTGGGAGTGAAGGAGTTAAGTTGTTTTGATAATTTAATCTGTTTCTTTTTGCTATGTCTAGACACCTAACCTTCCATAAAAATCCAGTTTAGACGTAAAGTCTCCCCTTTCAAACATGAATGTGTCTAAATCATACAACTGATGATCAAAAATGGTCAGAGTGCTGGAACACCTCTCCTATGAGGACAGGCTGAGACAGTTGGGGTTGTTCAGCCTGGAGAAGAGAAGGCTCCAGGGACACCTTATTGCAGCCTTTCAGTATTTAAAGGGGGCTTATAAGAAAGATGGGGACAGACTTTCAGAAGGGGCCTTCTGTGATAGGACAAGGGGTAATGGTTTTAAAATAAAAGAGGGCAGATTTAGACTAGATAGAAGGAAGAAATTTTTCACAATGAGGGTGGTGAGGCATTGTCACGGGTTGCCCAGAGAGGTGGTAGATGCCCCATCCCTGGAAACACTCAAGGTCAGGTCAGACGGGGCTCTGAGCAACCTGATGTAGTTGAAGATGTCCCTGCTTCTTGCAAGGGGGTTGGACTAGATGACCTTAAAAGGTCCCTTCCAGCCCAAACCACTCTGTGATTCTACGATATGGATCATCTCCATCTGTAGTTCTAGTTACTGGGAATATTTTTGTTTTGGAAGACTACCGCTGTAGAGATCAGAAATGTGCGATTTTCACCCATAGGCAAAGGTTAAAATAGTTTATGGGCTGATTTCTAGACGTTCATAGGTCTTGTAGTTTTTTCTGTTATAAGCATTTATAACATATGATACATGCAGCATGGACAACAAACAGGAGGAGCCGGAAGCTGTTGTGCAGCAGGAAAACTATCATGTAGTTGCTGTCACGGAAACATGGTGGGATGACTCGCACAACTGGAGTGCTGCAATAGATGGCTATAAACTCTTCAGAAGGGATAGGGAAGGAAGGACAGGCGGTGGGGTAGCCCTGTATCATAGGGAGTGTTTGATTGTTTAGAGCTTAATGATGGTGATGACAGGGTTGAGTGTTTATGGGTAAGAATCAAGAGGAAGGCCAACAAGGCAGGTATCATGGTGGGATTCTGTTGTAGACCACCCAACCAGGTTGAAGAGGCAGATGAAATATTCTATAAGCAGCCTCACAATTGCTAGCCGTTGTTCTTATGGGGGACTTCAACTTACTGGACATCTGCTGGAAGTATAACACAGCAGAGAGGAAACAGTCTAGGAGGTTCCTGGAATGTGTGGAAGATCACTTCTTGACACAGCTGGTGAGGGAGCCAACTAGGGAAGGTGCTCTGCTGGACCTGTTGTTCGTGAACAGAGAAGGACTTGGGAGTGATGTGATGGTTAGAGGCTGTCTTGGGCATAGAAATCACAAAATGATAGAGTTTTTGATTCTTGGAGAAGGAAGGAGGGGGGTCAGCAGAGCTGCTACCTTGGACTTCTGGAAGGCAGACTTTGGCCTGTTTAGGAGTTTGGTTGAGAGAGTCCCTTGGGCAGCTGTCCTGAAGGAGTCCAGGAAGGCTGGATGTTCTTCAAGAAGGAAATCTTAAAGGCACAGGTGCAGGCCACCCCCATGTGCTTAAAGACAAGCTGACAGGGAAGAAGACCAGCTTGGCTGAACAGAGAGCTTTGGCTGGAACTCAGGAAAAAAAGGAGGGTTTATGACCTGTGGAAGAAGGGGTGGGCAACTCAGTAGGACTACAAGGATGTCATGAGATTATGCAGGGAGAAAATTAGAAGGACCAAAGCCCAACTAGAACTTAATCTAGCTACTGCCATAAAAGACAATGAAAAAATGTTTCTAGAAATACAGTAGCAGTGAAAGGAGGGCTAAGGAGAATCTCCGTCCTTTATTGGATGCGGGGGGGAACATAGTGACGAAGGATGAGGAAAAGGATGAGGCAATTAATGCCTTCTTTGCCTCAGTCTTTAATAGTAAGACCAGTTGTTCTCTGGGTACCCAGCCCCCTGAGCTGGAAGACAGGGACAGGAAGCAGAATGAAGACCCCATAGTCCAAGGTGAAATGATTAGCAACCTGCTGCAGCACGTAGACACACACAAGTCTATGGGGCCAGATGGGATCCAGCCAAGGGTACTGAGGGAACTGGTGAAAGTGCTCATCAAGCCACCTACATTTATCAGCAGTCTTAGCAAACCAGCGAGGTCCCAGTTGACTGGAAGTTAGCAAATGTGACACCCATCTACATGAAGGGCTGGAAAGAGTATCTGGAGAACTAAAGGCCTGTCAATCTGAACTCTGTGCTGGGGAAGGTTATGGAGCAGGTTATCTTAAGTGCCATCATGTGGCATGTACAGGACAACCAGGTGATCAGGCCCAGGCAGCATGGGTTTATGAAAGGCGGGTGCTGCTCAGTTGACTGGAAGTTAGCAAATGTGACACCCATCTACATGAAGGGCTGGAAAGAGTATCTGGAGAACTAAAGGCCTGTCAATCTGAACTCTGTGCTGGGGAAGGTTATGGAGCAGGTTATCTTAAGTGCCATCATGTGGCATGTACAGGACAACCAGGTGATCAGGCCCAGGCAGCATGGGTTTATGAAAGGCGAGTGCTGCTTGACTAACCTGATGTCCTTCTATGACAAGGTAACCTGCTTAGTGGATGAGCAAAAGGCTGTGGATGTTGTCTACCTAGACTTTAGTAAAGCCTTTGACACCATTTCCCACAGCATTCACCTGGAGAAACTGTCTGTTCAAGGCTTGGACAGATGTACTTTTTGCTGGGCAAGAAACTGGATGGATGGACAGGCCCCAAGAGTTGTGGTGACTGGAGTTAAATCAGGTTGGCAGCCGGTCACAAGTGTGACTGTCACACTGTTCACATAGTCACAAGTCACACTGTTCAATCTCTTTATCAGTGATCTGGATGAGAGGATTGAGTGTACTCTCAGTAAGTTTGTAGACAACACCAACTTGGGTGGGAGTGTTGATCTACTTGAGGGCAGGAAGGCTCTGCAGAGGTATCTGGGCAGGCTGGATCGATGGGCTGAGGTCAGTTGTATGAGGTTCAACAAGGCCAAATGCTGGGTCCTGCACTTGAGTCAGAACAACCCCATGCAACGCTACAGGCTCGAGGAGGAGTGACTGGAGAGCTGCCCAGCTGAAAAGGACCTGGGAGTATTTGTTGACAGCTGGCTGAATATGAGCCAGCAGTGTGCCCAGGTGGCCAAGAAGGCCAACAGCATCCTGGCCTATATCAGCAATAGTGTGGCCAGCAGGAGTAGGGGAGTGATTCCCCCCGCCCCGCCCCGTACTTGGCGCTGGTGAGGACGCACCTCAAATCCTGTGTTCAGTTTTGGGCCCCTCACTACACGAAGGACATGCAGCTGCTGGCGCGTGTCCGAAGAAGGGCAATGAAGCTGGTGAGGGGTCTGGAGCACAAGTCTTATGAGGACTGGCTGAGGGAAGTGGGGTTGTTTAGTCTGGAGAAGAGAAGGCTGAGTGGAGACCTTATTGCTCTCTACAACTACCTGAAAGGAGGTTGTGGTGAGGTGGGTGTTGGTCTCTTCTCCCAAGGAACAAGTGATAGAACGAGAGGAAACAGCCTCAAGTTGCACCAGGGGAGGTTTAGATTTGATACTAGGAAAGATTTCTTCGCTGTGAGGGTTGTCAGGCATTGGCACAGGCTGCCCAGGGAAGTCAGGCTGCTGGTGGAGTCACCAGCACTGGAGGTATTTAAAAGACATGTAGGTGCTTAGGGACATGGTTTAGTTATGGAGTTGGCAGTGATAGGTTAATGATTGGACTTGATGATCTTAAAGGTCTTTTCCAACCTAAGTGATTCTGTGATAGGGGCATGAAAATTAGGTGGTTTAATACACTTATTGTTGCTGTACTTACAGTTGTTCTTTTGCAATAAAAATCTTATCTCATCTCAGATAAACCTAGCACTTCAGTCAAGATAGCATTTTCCGGTTACAAGAATCTGTATTTTAGATTAATTCTTTCGAACCTAAAGTTAGAGTTACAAAATTTCCCCACTATGACATCCTGTTTACTGTGAACAGTTGCTATACATAGACTTTATGCCTGCCCTAATCCTTCTTTCTTTTTTTTTTACATTATCCTTTTAATTTTAAAATTCTAAGAATATTTCTGTTTTCACAAACAATGATAGAATCTTCTAATAGTATTGTTCAAATGAGTGAAATATATATATTTTACTCCTTAACGGAGATGACGAATGGTTGTTAGCATGCTTTATTGATAGCTAGCTCTTAAGGGATTTTTCTCACCTCTACCAAACCACCCTGATATCTTGCAGACCACAGTGTTTTCGCTCAGCCTTATGCAAATAAAGCTATGTTTGCTCTGTCTGGCTCCAAGCCATCTGTGTGCATTGTGTAGTACCGTACAGGACTTAAAAGAAAGCTGTTTGTAAGTGAAGACCTTACACAGAGATTTCAGTTGCCTTTGAGGGACAAATTCAGCATCGTGGCCACTAATCATGCAGGACTACTTTGAGCAAAAATGCTAACTGGTAATTGTGACTACATGTTTCCATGCAGTAACATATATCTTATATTTTGACAAGATGTGTGTTTGATACTTAGTCAGTTGACATTCCCTGTGTTACTAGTGTTTGCTGATGATGGGGACATCTTGAGCACAGAATTGCTGTAAGGCGGAATAAATGCTTGTTTTCAAGTCTAGTCAAGTCACATTTAGATTTTGCGAAAAGTAAAGCTGTTGAAGGCCTTCCATGTTTCTTTCCTTTAACTGCAGTTAAAAGAAATCATCACTTCTGTTTAACTCTGTACTTGATTTTGTTACTTACAGTCTTAAAAAGCTGTATAAAGGTTGTTTTGTTCCTTTCAATCCCAATTGCTAATATAGTTATTTCATCTTGTGTGAGCTTTATAAATTCCTTTTTCTCAGAAAGCAACTGCTTGGTTGTAAAGGACTGAGACTCAAACCTCGAAAATACAGAGGTTTTTATGTATTATCCAGGTGCTGCTGTAAAGTCCTGCATGTTGGCAACAGTGCTAGCTTATGGCATTTTAAGTATGTATAATGCCTATCCCCTGGCTGTTATTAGCCTCATCCACCAACACTTCCGAAAATGTGGACAGACAATCTGCTTAGTGACAGAGGTTCTCTGGAAAAAATAATTCATCATATCAAAGAATAATAAATGTAACTCAGTAATTTTCCCTTTAAGTAATGCTTGAAGCCTCTGACACATGAATGAGCAACTGTAGCACACATGAGAAAGCTTTGCACCCTTTCTGAGGGATATATTGACTCGTTTTACTTTGCATTTACCTTTGGGTGGGAGCTTGGAGAAGGAAACTTACCACAACTGCTGGCTTGTCATTATTTGTTACCATCTGATAATACGTGTGACACAGACCTGACTGAAAGTTCTTAAAAATGCAAGATGATAGATTTTTCTCTGTGTTTGAAATAGGTGTCAACAGTAAAAAGTTCAAGTAAAAAATAACAATTTTTTTTTTTTTTTTTTTTTTTTTTTGTTAACCCAGATTTTGAATGTCCACAATGTGTTAGTTGTGGTATCCCGCTGGTATGGAGGTATTCTCTTAGGACCAGATCGTTTTAAACATATAAACAATTGTGCAAGAAATGTACTTGTGGAATACAACTATGTACATTCAGTGGTAAGTTTCTGCCACTTAGAATTAAGGCATTTGTATGTGAACTTGTGTAAATTGTCGCTGTTAAATGAAGCCAGAGGAAAAGTGATACTACCTGTATCATCCTCCGGTTGCTTTGGTGCACTGATAGTATGTGCAGGATCAGTGCAAAGACTCCCAAAGAACTTCCAAAGAAGTTAGTGACCTGCTTTGTAAGTGTGGGGTGTGCAAGGGGAGGGTGGCAGCAGTTGAGGGCATGGGTCCAGAACACAAATTTGAGGGTTGTGGGAGAATGGGAAAGGGAAATGCCTCTTTCTGTGTGTTCAGAAAACTGGAAGCTGCTTCTTCTCATGCAGGTTGTGCCACCAGTTGTAGTGTGTAGGCAGACTGAATGTTGGAATCACTGTAACTAGTAGATATTTTAAAAATTGGAAGCTCTGTTAGGCCCAAAAAAGTTTTCAGAATTATAGATGATAGACACCATTAAAAAAAAAAATAAATCTAGATTCGAAGAATTCAAACAAAGTAACATTAACTGTTACAGAAAAGATTAAGGGAGAATGTTTCAAAGGAGCTTAAATAACTTGGGAGACGAAGTTCCAAATGTCTTTAAATGGCATTTTACTTCTTAAAGAAGTCGAAGTCCCTTACTTCTTAAGGGCCTTAAGTCACTTAACTAATATTCTTGGTTTGCAACATTTCTTTTCTTCATTCTCGGAACAGCATATTGGATGTGTCTATGTACATCATAGCATGTAATTGCTAACAATATAAAGTTTAAGACAGTGGGAAATAATTGCCAGTGGCTACTTGAAAAAGCATGTCAGTTTTCCTTTTTATACGACAGTATCTAAGATTACTGTGGCTGAAAGCTGAGCAGTCTTCCCAATTCCTCCCCCTGCACTTTTCAGTTATTTGCTTTTGCATTTTAGAGGTACTTGTATATACTTACTGATTCACCTTCTTGGCAGTTTATTAATGTTCTCTTATTTGAAAGCATTGCTCATAAAATAAAAGGAAACTAACAAGACTTTTAAACATTGACTCGCAAGAGAAGGTTGAAATGAATTCTTTTTTTTTTCTATTCTTAACAACTTAAATCAGACTGTGTTTCTTTATTGTGTATTAACAAACGTATTTTGTTAACCAGTGTCCATCAGAAAAATAACAGATGGAATTTACAATAATTATTATTCTATTACCATAGATGTGGCTCTTGGAAAAAATATTACTTTAGGTAACTCTTTTCAGAATAGCAGAGTTCAAACATCCTGTTAGGGTCTATTTCCCTCCCATGTGCAGCAGTACAAGGGAGTAGATTAAAATGTCCCAGGTTATGTCAGATGTAGTGGCAGATTCTTTCACCATTTTGGGGAGCGCTTATGATGAAAGCCTACTGAAGAAAAGTCTTGTTTTTCAGAATTGGCTGTCAGAGTAAGCTGTATATTCCGATGTTGATCCAGCAAAACAGGCAAAATTTTGGTTTTCCCAGTGTAGGTTTGTTTCACTTAGGGAATTGGTTTTAATGTACTGGTGTACAATATATCTTTTGATAAGGCCACATCCATACTAGGAGGAGTGTTGCAGTATAGTGTAGAAGTATTCCTATACTGGTAACCTCTTCCTTGAGTGGAAATTACTTCTATTACTTTTACATTGTATGCTTCTGTTGTCATAGCTGTGTCTATAATTTTGTCATAGCTGTGTCTATAATTTTATCATTGCTGAAGGCAGAAGTTTCTAAGTGCAAGATAAGCAGACAAATTAATGAAACTGGATAAATATTATACAATTCAAAAATTTCATAAATCCCAGTGAACTATGAACACTGTTCATGTTAAAAATAATTCTCATGGGTGTCCTTGAGAGAATGCTCAAGGTATATAAGAATGTTGTTTAAATTTTGAAATGTTTGTTTTTCATTTCAGGAAGAATCATCTAAACAAGCAGGAAAGAGCAAAAAGATAAGGAAGGACAACAAGAAGAGAACAGAACACTAATGTTATTTTTAAAAACTATAAAAGATTATTTTGCACATATTTATACAAAGAAACCATGGACATTATTGCCTTATCCAATACAACAGCTATTTTGTATTCAAAAGAGAATTCAGTAAAGCTGTAGATATAATTTCGTCTTGTTCTGTGATTTCTTCTGCTGTTCTAAAGTAGAGCTTAGACAGAAGTTTTCTGTATTCTTATACATTTAACTGCTTGTTATGAGGGCATTGTAACACCTGGAACCATTTCCCCACCCCTTCCACCCCCCTTCAACCATGGCTGACTAATTTAAAATGTGGATTATGTATCTTCTCCATTCAAATGGAGTTCTCCATTCAAACAGGAGTTTGAACTCAAACACCTGTCTTGTATTAGGATTTGAATTCCCTAGTTTGTTGTATTGAGGGTGAGACTGGAGTCATTCATAGACAAGGTCACTTACGAAGCTTTAGATTTTCTGTACCTACAAGGAAAGCACGTGGCCCAGTGCTACATGGCCTTGGAGAGCCTGGTGCTGTCTATGCAGTTCTCAGTCATGCTAGATAGGGCCTGGCTGGTGACATAAGAAAGACTGAATATGGGCAATGCACTGAGAAATGTGAAGAAATTACTTCAAAATTTCTTTGAGGATTGTTCTGTGAGTGGTGGGACTCTAGGAGCCTGTTGAAAAGCTGAGGATTAAGTGTTGTGTTATTAAAGGAACCAGTGATTTCAACAAAGGATATAGGGATTTTGAAACCAGACTGTTACAGCTAGTACTGAAAGCTAGTAAACATTCTGAAGTGACTTCTGCTGGTGTAGAGTGGGAAAAAAACCCCACATGTTAGCAATATGATCACAAACACTTGAATCATTAATACCTTCCAGACTTTTCTCTAATGCATTACAAAAAAATTAACAGGACCTTTTGTTAGTTAATTGTCATATTGCTATTTAGATGAGATTTCAGTAATGTTTTTAACATTCCCATGATTATCTTCCATTTGGGGAGGATGATGATCTGTTGGGTTTTTTCTTTTTTTTTTTTAATTTCTAAGCTTTGTGATCCATTAATTACTAGCTGAGTCACAGGTGCTTTTTGAGCTCAGGTACACCTTACATAGTTTGCTTATATAGTAATGTCAGGGCTATGACTGTTTTTAATGACATTTCTTCAGTGGCACTTACATACCTCAAAGGTGTATTTGTAAGACTAGCTTATTGGACCACCAGTTCGGCATACATCTTTTTGCCAATATGTTCTTACATTGAACTGTTCACTGTAGTTCTCCAGTAGGGGTACCCCAGAAAACCTTTCCCAAGGGAAACTTCATCTAATCAAAGTAATTACTACAGAGTTTGACACAGCAACAGAGTTGTTACTTAAGTAACTTGAAAAGTACTACTAAAATACATGATTTAAAAAAAAAAAAATACCACTAATTCTCTGGCAGATAGATCCTGCATTGATTTATTGAAACAATTTTATGCAGTTACAATACCTTGTCTGCATAGTAAAGCTCTTTTGGGTTATGTACTTGTAATAATAAAATGGCATTCATCCCAGAGAAGGAGATCCATGTATTACATGTATATAGTAGTCTTGCACGTTTTGGGACATAAAAGTATTTCTTGTTCATAGTTTGTCTATCTGATTGATAGACTTTTATTTTGCCAGTCATTTCCGGTACCTTACTAACTTAAGTATTCCAAACTTCCTGTTGCTTTTATGGAAGCTTGAGATTGTAGCAATTGCTTAATATGGGAAGCAGGTGAATTGTGAGATGTTCTGCTACAGCTGCCAAAGATTCTGTTCCACTCATGGTAATGCACATTCTTTTTCCAAAGAGCATCCTTTAAGCTTGAACGCTCAGAATCAAGAAGTTGATTCTGAAGGTCTGAACTTTTGGGTGTTCAGTCTGAGGTATGTGAAAGCTAACTGTCTGATTACGGGTTTTTTTATTACTGTTTTTTTCAGAAAGTACTGATCCTTGTCCCCAAGAATCTCATGTTTCAGTGTTGTGTGTGAGCAAAAACTAAAATCCCAAAATAGAAGAAACAAGTTTTGATAACCATTTGCTGTGTAAATGAAAGAGACCGTATGTATCATCCAATCAGTGCGCAAAATAATCCCCTATACCTTAAAATGGCTGGAAATAAACCATCAAAGTGGAAATGTGTATTTTCATGCTATTTCTTTCAGAGAGAATGTGAAGTGCTGGCTAGCTGTTACTGTGGACGATTCTGGTTAGAGAAGTTGCATTCTCTTCCTATTTTTGTTGATAAGCAGTTCCTAAGTTTAAACTTCCTCTATTCTAAGAACAGGTTTTCATGTGGCTTTCCAGAAGAGTTTTGCAACACAGGATTTTGTGTTTTCCTTTGAGAGCGATGCCTCAGCATACCTCACGGCCTGAAGAACCTGCGATTCTTGCTCTTTGATTATTAGCTATGCCTCAAGGAGGCTGTATCCCACCACGTAATTGAATAAAATTGTTTCTGCTGTGTAATTCAGAAAATGTTACAGCAGCCGTGGTCATAACGTGTCAGAATCAAAATTTAGGACTGATACAGCAGTTGAAATCCTTCAGACGCGTCAAGATTGTTTTCACACTGGACCTGGTAACTAAGGGACACAGAACCTATTCTGCATGCAGCAGACACACGGAATATATTTTGATCCTCACAGTTTCATCATTGCCTCGAATGCATTTGGCTTCCTAATAAAGAAATCAAGAACATAACTTGTTTAGAAACTGGGCTATAAAGCATTTTGTGTCTCTTACATAGTGGAGAACAGAGATGCCCCAGAATCTGAGAAAGAAAACAAGTCAGCCTACCCTTACATGCAGCTGGATTGCTTCCTAAATCACTTGTGCTCTAAGGCCGGAAAGCCATTGCTCAAAAAACCCCCACAGATACCTTTTAAAAAAAAAGAAGTGAAATTATACTTCATAATATTTGTGGAGGTGGCAGTTCCTGTAGTCTAACCTTGGATGGGCTGGCTTCTCAAATGAAGTTTGAGAGTTGCTGAAGTACGTGCTTGTGAAGTATGTTATTCTGAAGCCAGTGTATTGCTCTTGAACAGACTGGAAGTACTGGCATCTTTTGTCTCTGAACTATAGCAATTTTAGATTGGTATTCCTCTATTAATTAAAAAATGTGAAAAGAACAAAATAGACAACTCCTTGTAATCATGACAACCCTGTCATTTTGGTAACTAACAACCATTTAGTTTTTATGTTGCTGACACAAGTAATCATTTTTTATTTTAGGGTAAGGTTTAGAAATACTAAGAAGTTGTAGCCTTCAGTACGTGTCTATGCAGAAAAGAGAAAGGTTTGCCTTTTCTGTTAGGTACGTGTCACTGTTTTTGCAGGTTTCTGTGGTGAAATGAAGAAATGAATTTTTGCACTCTTATCTGAAATGTGCCGACAGGAGATCTGCTTTAGATTTGGTGCAGCTTCCTCCTCTACTAGGTAACAAGAGTGGCATCAGCCTTTGCTTTTGAGTAAGTTGGGGACACAATCTCCATACTCCTGTGAAGTGCATTGTTGTAAATACCGATATTCTAAACTCTTACTGCTAAGCCATATAATAATCTTTTTTATCAATGTAAATTGTGATGGCTTAATATTTTCCTGCAAGTTCAAGGTTTATAAATAAGGATCTAGAGGAACGTATTGAAAACCAACTAAATTAGAATGGAGCATCAATGTTCTTCGGTCCAGAACTTGACAATGCAATCTGATGAGAAATCAGATTGTGTTAAATAAGTTATGTGTATGTGAACTAGCAAGGGATCCAGCGAGGGAGGCTTGCAACAACTTTAACTTTAAAAATAATGTCCTGATAGAATGTATAATTAAACTGAAGCAGCAATTTTAACAGTGAGTTTTTGTTGTCAAATATTGTAAATTTGCTTAAGACAATATAAGCTGTATACATATCCCCTGCCTATGGGAGAATTACAAATTTCATCATCTGGAAAAAAAGAAGAAAAGGACTATAGTATTAATTCATATGTAAAGTACAGTTCCCTGTCATATAAATATGTCTGTAAAGAATCAAATGCTAGCAGAAAAAGGCAGATTGTGACTTCTTTTTTAATCCTTTTTGCCGCTGTGTTGTCTTATCTCCTACTGTTTTCATTTCACTCTTCTGGAAATGAATCAGGAGTATGGATGAAACCAGATTAGCTATTACAGGACCCCAGTCTCCTACAAGGAGAGTAGTATCAGAAGGCAGTATCAGAATTACTCATTTTTCCTTGTTGATTAAACTTAAGTGACTGGACCAAGACCTGGAGTTTACATCTGGTCTCTGATCGGGATCTCTGATATTTTGTTAGCAAAGTATCTCCTAAAGAACTGCCAGGTGGTTTCTCTGTAAAACAGAGACTTCACATTGAAGAGCCTTAATAAATTCAAGACAGTTGAGCAATGCAAAAGAACTCCTGTCATTCTTACGGGCTTCTCTTCAAGAAGTGGTGATGAGACACAACATTTCATCTAAATGTCCTACCATATATCGGGAAATCTTCCATGCTGAAATATGGAAGGGTCACTTGCATTTAAAATCTAAGCCCTTAACTCTTAAAAGTGAAGATAATTGTCCTCTAATTGCAGCATAGCAATTCTGGACTGCTTGTAATTTTGTGTTATCGCAAGTCTGAACACTTTAATAAGCTGGTCATTCAGGGTGGTGCTTTTACTGTTTAGTGTGCGTTCTAACGCTTGGGGAAGAAGGAAGGGAAGAGAAAGCTGTACCATTTACTTGTGGATCCTTTTGGTGTATTAATCTGCGCTATGCACTTAGTATCTAGCATGTCTATTTGAATAAAAATTCCGTATCTTTTTACAGGATTATCATCGAGCAGTTCATAGGCTGCCCTCACTCCAGCAGAAAATCAGCAGTTTATCTACTTCAGATATTTTTCTAGCTAGACATGTTTTCTAGACTGGCTTAATCATAGTTGTAGTCACACACACGAAAAAAATAATGGAATCATCATAGGATCATAGAATCTTTGGATTGGAAGGGACCTCTTAAGGTCATCTAGTCCAACCCTGTGCAATGAGCAGGGACATCTTCAACTAGAAAAAAAATCTGCTAAAAGCTTATGTTTTAAAAAAAACTTACTGACTGGTGTAGATT